CGGTCTTTCTCAGTGGTGCCACGAGGGATGGGGCCAGGTTTGGGGTGTCCTCAGGAAGGACCCCAGCCTGTGTGCGAGGGGTCGGGGGTGCTGAGTACCTGGAGCTGGATGGGAGCAGGCAGGAGCTGTCTGCACGGTGCCCTGTGCTGTGCCAGGGACTCGCGGCAGTCCCTCTGCTGGGTGCCGGTGCTTCCCTGGCTCCACCACCTGCAGCCCTGGGGTGCTGGGGAGTGTTGGTGCTCCCCCTGGGGCTGCCCCAGCCCTCGGTCCAGTACGGCTCTGCAGGCGCTGCCCGATCCCGCCGAGCCCTGCACCGCTGCGGGTGCTAGACCCCGGGCTGCTGCTGCGCTCCCTGTGCTGCGGGACCCTGCCATGGCACGTGGCCACTTCCCACCTGCAGCCCCGGGAGAGGAGGTGGCCCTGGGGAGGGCTGGGGGCTGGAGAGGGTCGAGCCTCAGGTTTTGGGTTGGGTTTGGCTGGAGGGAGGCAGAGGGGCTTTTTCCTCTAGGAGGTGCTGGCCCCAGCCTGGCTTTGCAGCAGGGACTGGGGTGGGTGGCCAGCGGGCATGGGGGAGCAGGGAGGCACGGGGCCTTCCCGATGGGGTGGGGGAGATGAGCACAGCCCCCAGCGCACACGGTGCCTCCTCACAGCCGTGCCGGCTCCGGGCAGCATGGCCTGGTTGCTTGTCCCAGGGTGGCAGCACATCTGGCACTGCTGCGATGGCCAGAGCATGCTGGCGCAGTGGAGGGGGTGCCAGGCCCGGGGGTGAGCAGTCCCTGTGCCCAGGGAGCGGCTTCTTCCTCTGCGGTGGTGCTTGTGAAACTCCCTCTGACAAAAAGTCCACGAGCTATGGCCCTGGGCTCGTGCTTCACCCTGGCACTGAGCTGCACTGGCTGGGACACAGCGGGACCGTGGTCAGCGTGAACAGCAAGTCCCCATGTCCCCCCACGAGCTGCCTGGCTGCAGTGTCCTCTGGCCACGCTCAGTCAGTGTTTTGGCGTGCCCTGCCGGGCGTGGTGTCGCCTGCCTGCTGCTGCTGCGCCCGGCGCCTGCCGGGCTGCCTGGCTCTGCTTGCGCCCCGGCGCCCGGTGCTTGTCTGTGTGTGTCCGCGTGGGCTCCAGCTCTGCCGTAGCCTCCATGTGCCCCGTGCCCCGGCCACGCTGCGCCGGGGCTGTCCCCAACCTGCCCCTCTCTGCCCCCAGGAGGCAGGGTGAAGACGTGGAAGCGACGCTGGTTCATCCTGACCGACAACTGCCTTTACTACTTCGAGTACACGACGGTCAGTGATCTTTGCTCGGGGTGTGCTGAGCCGGGGCAGGGAAGGGTGCCGGATCCGGCCCAGCGCTCGCCTGCCTGCATGGCGCAGACCGGGCGCAGCGTCCCGGCACAGGGCTGTCTGATTGCCTCCTGCCGTGCTGGGGTAGCGGTGACTGTAGGGGTGCAGGACGCGGCCCGAGGGCCAGGCAGCACTAGATGCCTGTGCAGAGGGGTGTTGGGGAGAGGGGTGTTTGCAGCGTCCAGCCCTGCCTGGGGCACACGGGTGGGGTGTGGGGGTGTCCAGCCTGCAGCTAATGCCTCTGCTTGGTCCCACCAGGATAAAGAGCCCCGTGGCATCATCCCCCTGGAGAACCTAAGCATCCGTGAGGTGGAGGACTCAAAGAAGCCCGTGAGTGTTGCAGCAGGGTCCTCCGGGGCTGGAGGGGCAGCCCTGGTGCTTTGGCTGGGGCAGGAGCGGGGCAGGGAAAGCCGAGAGGTGCTGCAGCCCCCAAGGGATGCCCCTGGGAGAGGCAGGAGGGCCCCAGAGCAGTCACTGCCTCCACCGGTCACAGCGGCCGGGTGCAGGCCTGGGGCCGGTCACCGCAGTGTCCAGGGCAGGGCACAGGGCACCATGGCTGGGGGCCGTGGGGTGACGGTCACAGCGTGTCCATCCCTCTCTGCTGCGGTGGGGGTGGCTGTGCCAGGGGAGTGCCTGCAGCCCCGGTGCTCTGCCTCCTCCCTCCCAGCCTGGGGGGTCCCCTTTGGGAGTGGGGGCTGCCTCCGAATGGTCTCCTCTCCCCCAGAACTGCTTTGAGCTCTACATCCCCGACAACAAGGACCAGGTGATCAAGGCATGCAAGACGGAAGCAGATGGCCGCGTGGTGGAGGGGAACCACACAGTGTACCGCATCTCCGCTCCCACGCCCGAGGAGAAGGAGGAGTGGATCAAGTGCATCAAGTGAGTGCTCAGAGGAGCGGGTGGGAGGGCGCTGGGCAGGGGCACAGCGGGGACCCGCCTGCTGCGCTGGAGCAGGCAGTGCTTCCCGGGGCACCCTGCAAGGTTGGGAGGGGGGAATGAGCTTTCCCAGGGGCACAAAGGGACCTGCCTGAGCCCCTGCCAGGCAGGTCAGACCCAACCTTACAAGCCTGGAGAGCTTTGCCAAGGCTGTACAGCTGACCCGAGCCCTCCTTCCCCCTGCCAGGGCAGCAATCAGCCGGGACCCTTTCTACGAGATGCTGGCTGCCAGGAAGAAGAAGGTCTCCTCCACCAAGAGACACTAGCAGCCTCCGCTGGCCCTGGGAGGCCGGCGGGCCCCTGGCAGCCCGAGCCCAGCTGGGAGGGCTGTGGGACTGGGGGTGCGCTGCAGCCTGGCCCTCGGGGCCCAGGACCCAGCTTCAGCTTTGCAGTTTCTTTCCCGTGGGGAGAGGGAGGGGGCACAGGCATGTCAGTGGCTCTGCCCCCCCCCCCATCACTGCCTCATCTCCAGGACAGCATCTTCATGGGCTTGAGCTGGGACACTGACACCCCTGCGCGCCGGGAGCCCTGTCCTGCCCCGGGCTTGGCTGCAGGATGGGGAGTGCCGCATGTGTGGACCGTCCTCCCCTCCCACCTCAGCCAGCCGCGGCACCACAGGCGCCATCCCTGCTCCCGATCCCCCCAGCAAGCGTGCAGCCGCACATACCGCGGGGTCCCCCCCAGCACCCATGTCCTGAAGTGCTTGGGGTGTCCCCTCAGGAAGGTGAATGGCCAGCGGTTAGCAACTGGCGGTTTTGGGGTGCTGCAGGCACCGGGGAGAAGGGGGCAGCCCCAGGGGGGCCCCGCGGAGGCACAGCTCCTGGCCCTCGTTGTAGCGGGCCTGAGTCTCTCCTGGGCTTCCCCACGCTGCTGCCTTGGACCCTGCCAGCTGTCCCCTGCACTGGGGACGGTCACCGCAGGCACAGGGAGGGAGTTGTCACCGTCACGGTGCACAGACGTCCTTGCCCAGCCGTGGAGTGCCAGAGCTTGGGTGAGGATACTGGTTCGGCAGCACTGGGTGGCATTGCCCCCGGCACGTCCTTGCAGCACCATGCCCTCGGCGAGGGGCAGGGGAGGCCATGCCAGGGGTGGCCATCGTCTCCTCGAGCACAAGCCCTCGCTCCCAAGCGCGTGGTGGGACGTGCCCGGAACCTGCGCCAGGGACGGCGCTGTCGAGGGTGTCTGGCCGGGCCGGGGGCTGCAGACCCCTGCCTCTGCCTTGCAAACACCCGTGTCTTGTCCTGTTCCCGTGGCCACCGCGCACGGTCTGGAGAGAGGCGCCTGGATCAGTATTAGTCTATTTATCAGAGGTGTAAATACTCCTGTATAGTTTTCTCCTTTTAGATTATTTTGTATGTCGGGTCGTTCTGTGCAGAGGCCTCTCCGGAGGGTGGGAGGTGACAGGATTTTTTCTAACCTTGCCACGGCCTTGTTAAACTAGTGCTGAGGATCTGCGGCAAATAAACGCTGAACCATGCTCAGCCTCGGCCTCCTGTGGTCTGTGCACGGCTTGTAATGGGCAGGAGCCCCCAGCCCCACCGCCAGCCCCTGCCCCGTGCCCCGGCTTTGCGACCGGGTTCACACTTCTCCCAGCCCTGAAGCAATGCCACGTTGGGTGAAGCTGGCAATGCCGTGGCCAACGTGGTCCATGTTTGACTCTCTGCCTGTTCCCGTTCAAGGCCTCTCGTTTCTTGGTGCGCTGGGAGGTGTTTGTGTGCTTTGTGCCCTCGACGGCTCCCCTCAGCTTTCCCCTGGCCACCAGGAAGGTGCCTTGGGGACCTCGCCGCAGGCCAGAGGGTGGCCATGCTGGGGTGGGACGGCTCCTGGTTCTGTGTCCTGTGTGCCACCCGCCTGGCGTGCGGTGGGGCTGGCACCAGCTCGGCTGGGCGGGGGGGCGGCTGCCCACCGAGTGGTGCCAGACCCCCAGTT